TAAGTAGTTTTTAACTATAATCAAAAAAGTAATTGAAATGTAATATTCTTTAATTATTCTTCATGTTGGTTGATATTGTACTCCTGGCAGATGTCATACAATTCGGAATCTTCTGTAAACTCTGTAATATAGGTTTGAATTGATGACGATGAGGCGGCTGAGGAGTTTTTAGGGTCTTGCTTAGGAGGCGATGATTGTGAAGATGAATTCGGTTGAGTGTGTGCAGAGGGTAGCAAATTTTGGGAACTTGTAGATGTATGAGTAGGAGAACGAGATAAAACAAGTTGAGTGTTTCTTGCTAAGTGGAGCGGATTTTGAGGAATGTGCGATGGAAGAGAGACAGAATATTTGGGTTTGATTTGCATATTTTGAGGGCTTGAAGATGGAATATATGTAGGAGAAGGAGATAAAGTCAGTGGAGTGTTTCTTGCTAAGTAGAATGGGCCTTGGGGACTTTGCGATGGTAGAGAGACAGAATATTTGGGTTTGATTTGCATATTTTGAGGGCTTGAAGATGGAATATATGTAGGAGAAGGAGATAAAGTCAGTGGAGTGTTTCTTGCTAAGTAGAGTGGGCCTTGGGGACTTTGCGATGGTAGAGAGACAGAATATTTGGGTTTGATTTGCATATTTTGAGGGCTTGAAGATGGAATATATGTAGGAGAAGGAGATAAAATCAGTGGAGTGTTTCTTGCTAAGTGGAGTGGGCCTTGGGGACTTTGCGATGGTATAGAAACAGAATATTTGGGCTTGATTTGGAAATTTTGAGGACTACCTGTATAAATTGTGGATGGGGGATAATTATTGCGCTGAGTGTTTTGTTTCTGAACTTCCTGGAAAATTTGTAAAATTTTGATCTGTACGTCTAGTTTTTTCTCCTCCGGGACTGCTTTTAACAACGGCACCAAAGACAGCGCAAAATGCTTTTCCTTGTCATCGTCATTACAGTCACTATTGTTATTTCTCATAGTCTCGATAAACCTGTTATCATCAACTCTTTTGTTGTTTAAAATCTCTAGAAGCCTTTCTTCGTAACATATTTTATTCTTATTTTACTTTCGGGAATATTCTTCTCGCTGTAGTACTTCCACACTGGCATCTTGACTATCTTCTTCGCAAGCAATTTCCTCTACAGAATCAGCATTTCCTGAGGTTTCTCGGGTATCCATGCTTGGGATAAGAAATAAAAGTTGGTCAAAATGTTTGTACTTTCTTCTTTTTGTAGCGGCCTGGCCAGACTTAGTACATTTTTGCTCACGTAGCTCACGTGAAAAACAAGCCCTTAAATTCTTCCATCGTTTTTGTACAAGTTTACCTGAAAATAAATATTTAACTAGTATAAAACAGTCAGTCATTTATTTAATTTATGTATTTTTAACTTTAATTTTGTATTATGTATTTAATTTTCTTTTGTTTCAGATATCTTGCAACCGGCAACAGTTTTTACAGCATATCATTTGAATATTTGATAGGTGCCACCACTGCACGAGAAATTGTAAAATCTACATGTTCTACGATCTGGAATTTACATACACTATACATGCCTGAAAAGTCTGAAGAGGATTGGTATACTATTTCAAATCAGTTTTACCAACGGACAAATTTTCCGAACATAATTGGCGCAATTGATGGCAAACATGTGAGAATAATTCAGCCGGAAAACACCGGTACGCAGTGTTTCAATTACAAAAAGTACTTTTCTACTGTTCTCATGGCATGGGTAGATGCCGATTATAAATTTGTATACATAGATGTTGGTGCTAATGGAGCAGCAAGCGACTCCAATGTATTTCAGAATTCTGGCATGGGCAAAAGATTGCAGCAAAATCAATTGAGCATACCAGATGATCGTAATTTGCCATATGATGAAAATGGAAAAAAAAATGCCATTTTGTTTGGTCGCTGATGAGGCATTTGGCTTGTCGAGGCATATTTTGCGACCATATTCAAGAAAATCATTGTCTACTGTAAAAAAATTTACAACTATCGCCACACTAGGGCACGACGCATGGTTGAATGCACTTTTGGTATACTTTGTAACAAATGGCGAATTTTGCACAGGCCGATTGACGTCAGTCTTGATTTTGCTGATATAATAGTAAAAACATGTTGTATTTTACATAATTTTGTACGGTGCAGAGATGGCATTCAATTTACTGACACTGTTTACGACTGTCCATTAAAAGGTATTGCAACAAATCCATCAGACAGAACCATATCAGCAGCAAATATACGTAATTATTTTGCGAATTACTTTACTTCTCCACAAGGGGATGTGTCATGGCAGTATGATAAAATCTGAATTTCACCTTTTTGTACAACTGTTGTTTTAGCTACAAATACTAAAAATAAAAAGATACTCACCAGCTTCAGTTTTTTCTTGTGACGACAGCGACTCATGACCACGTGTAATACCTTTTCAGAATCCCTATTAAATGCGCCAAAACTTGTAGTACAGGGACACTTTTCGGTGGAGTAATTTTTTTTCACAGTGGGGTCCAAAGTAAAGAAAAATTTATGATTTGAAAAAATGTTATATCGTATCACTTAATATTATCTTGAATACACTCAATAAACAACTATAAATAGTATGTCTAACGCAAGAACTCATCAGTACCAATCTAGTGGATATTATGAGAAGGATACAGGATGTAGATATTTTCGAATTGCGTTTGATCCACGACTTTTTGGCCACCCTGTATACTAATAGACTTGATGTGAGTGACGAAACAGTCACGGTGACAAAAGTCACCGGTGCGCGCTAGCCCTAAGCATACAAAATACGTGAACATTTTATTTTGATGAGGCCTTAGATCGATTTCGTTAAATACAAAATTGATTTTTTTCTACTGTGCGTTTTCCAATTACAGAGCATTTTTCGACTCAGTGCCGCACAATGCCGCATAATGCTGAAGCTTAATTGGAACGTGAATTAGGGGGGGGGGGGGGGGGGGGAGGGGGGGGGGGGGGGGGGGGGGGGGGGGGGGGGGGGGGGGGGGGGGGGGGGGGGGGGGGGGGGGGGGGGGGGGGGCGGGCGGGGGGGGGGGGGGGGGGGGGGGGGGGGGGGGGGGGGGGGGGGGGGGGGGGGGGGGGGGGGGGGGGGGGGAGAGGGGGGGGGAAAAAAAAAGGAAAAAAAAAAAAAAAAAAAAAAAAAAAAAAAACCCCCCCCCCCGCCGCGGGGGGGGGGGGGGGGGGGGGGGGGGGGGGGGGGGGGGGGGGGGGGGGGGGGGGGGGGGGGGGGGGGGGGGGGGGGGGGGGGGGGGGGGGGGGGGGGGGGGGGGGGGGGGGGGGGGGGGGGGGGGGGGGGGGGGGGGGGGGGGGGGGGGGGGGGGCGCCCCCCGCGGGGGGGGGGGGGGGGGGGGGGGGGGGGGGGGGGGGGGGGGGGGGGGGGGGGGGGGGGGGGGGGGGGGGGGGGGGGGGGGGGGGGGGGGGGGGGGGGGGGGGGGGGGGGGGGGGGGGGGGGGGGGGGGGGGGGGGGGGGGGGGGGGGGGGGGGGGGGGGGGGGGGGGGGGGGGGGGGGGGGGGGGGGGAAAAAAAAAAAAAAAAAAAAAAAGAAAGAAGGGCGCGGGGGGGGGGAACCAAAAAAAAAAAAAAAAAAAAAAAAAAAAAAAAAAAAAAAAAAAAAAATGGGCCACCCCCCGGGGGCTTTTTTTTCCCCCCCCCGGGGGGGGGGGGGGGAAAACCCACATTTAAAACCACAAAAAAAAAAGGAAAAAAAAAAAAAAAAAAAAAAAAAAAAAAAAAAAAAGGGCGCGGGGGGGGGGGCCCCCCCCCCCCCCCCACCAAAAAAAAAAAAAAAAAAAAAAAACACGCCCCGCCCCCCCCCCCCCCCCGCGCCGGGGGAGGGCGCCCCGCGGGGGGGGGGGGGGGGGCGGCGCGGGGGGGCGCGCGCCCGCGGGGGGAGGGGGGGGAAAAAAAACAAAACCCCTGGGCGCGCGATTTGAAAACGCGCGTCAAGTTTTTGCCATCTGAACATAGCCTTAGTTTTCAAATGCATCAGCAGATTGCGCTAAGTCAGTGTTGACAAAAAAATGGTCTGAATAGAGTTAGCAACCTCATTAATGTATAAATAATGTGGTAAACAATAATAATTGGTTGAAAACTTTTTACGCTTAATTTAATAATCAAATTATTTCATTAAATTTTTTTTACTGAAATAAGAGAAAACCTTTAAAGAATATAAGGTTTTAACAAGCTAAATTAACAGTAAAATATTTAGTTTCATGTAAGAAGTTTACATCATTTACGTTTTGAGTGATCATTACGTTGTGAATATTTTTTAATGATTTCTAAAAAAATATATACTTTTTCAAAACCATTGCAATTTTTTCTAAAGTAGGTATAATCCTGTAAAGTAAATTTGTTTACAGATCCGAATTTTAAAATAAAATTGTATTCATATTTTAAATGTGGAATACAAAAAAAGTAACTATTTATACCTTCATCCATACTAATATTTATTTTTTTAGCAGTTTGAAATAACTTTAATTATTTTCAAAATCTACGACGAAACGAAAGCCTTACAAATTTTTCAACAATAAATAATATTTACTAACGAAAATTTCGATAAATGCCAACCTAAAGAAAAATACTAGTCAATGTTCTGTCACTGTGTTTGTATTGTTTGCGAGAGCATTCGTTTTGAGAGTGCTCAATTGTGCGAAGCGTTGCTGTAGTTGGAACACTCAACGTTGAGCATTATGCCGCAAAATGCGCTCTAGTGCTGTAATTGGAAAACGCACACTAATTCCTGATTAAAACCTCTAAAACCAAAAATATTTTTGACGTATAATTTATGTACCATAAACTGTGTTGTCATTTCTTCGTAGTACTTTATGTCAATTGTCAATTTAAATCTTGATTTTTCATGCAACTGTTTAAGAATTAAGATATGAAATTGAAGTGTGAAAAAGTTAAACATTTATGTTATATTATTGATATTTTACTTTCTAGTTTTTAAAAGTTAGGAGCTTACAGCATGAGCCCGAAGAGTTATTGAAATGGATGATACCGAGAGTACTACAACTTCTGCTGATGAAAATACAGGCAATTTGTGTGACAATCCAACAAGAGACACTCTTGCTGAAGGACTTTTAGGACTTTTGAAGCCAACTGTAGATCAACTGGATGATAGAGTACGAGCCACAAGGTTGCTAAATATAATTTTACTCTTTTCTCTTTCCAACTGCACTCTAGAACCCTATTTATTTTGAGTATTGTTAAACTTAATTTATATTGTCTATATCATTAATATGGGCTAAATATATTGGAAAATCTGCATTTTACTTTTAGAATTGCTCAATTAGAACTGAAACAGCAAATTGAGTCACTTAATGAGAAGTTGGAGAAGGTACGAGAAGCTTTAGTCAATCATCCAAATTTGGATCCTTATGTGAAAAAACTTATTGCATGCAAGCACAAAGTTACTGTTGTTTTAAATGTTTTACAAGCTTCACAGGTAATATATACTGCTCTTATTTATGTATTTTTAAAGAGATTTTTTTAAGAAATCGTTAAAAAACCACATTTGTAAATTTACTTTCATTAGTTCTAGTGACCTTTCACCCCAGCCTCAGCCGTCCCTGAGGTGTATGTGTGTATTCCAAAATTGATTCAAGTATGACACCAGGATGTCAAAAACATTGCATTTCACATAGATTTTCCTCTCACATATGCTTCAGAATGTACCCAGTCAATTGCTCAGGGTTTAACTCTCTATAATTGGAATCATACTTAGCACTAAATGTTGACTCTGAATCTTAGATTAGGAAAATACTAATTTGTTTTTTTATTACAGGACAGATTAAATGAAATAAGACAAATGATTAATAAGAATAAGGCTGTTATACAACCAGAACAATCAGAGCCAGTACAAAGCACCAGTACCATAATATCAAGTCAAGGTAGCATCAACTAAAATGGAAACTCCACACCAAGAGCATATTAATAAAGATGATTTTCAACATGTCTATGAACCAGCTGAGGACAGTTTTCTCCTTATAGATGCTTTGGAGAAAGAATTAAACTTTTTAAAAGCATTTAACCCCTTTTCATGCCTAGAAATAGGGTCTGGAAGTGGTGTTATCATAACAGCGCTGGGCATGGCATTACCAAATTCCTTATACTTTTGCACAGATGTTAATTTCAAAGCCTGCTTAATGTCTAAAAGTACTGCTCTTCACAATAGGGTTGGTCTGGAGTGTGTTAATATGAACCTAGCTATGTGTTTTCAAAATAAAATGTTTGACATTGTTATCTTCAATCCCCCTTACGTTGTGACTGGCTCGGAGGAGTGTATGAGCAATGGTATTGAAGCAAGCTGGGCTGGAGGTAACAAAGGAAGGGAGGTGATAGATAAATTATTGGATTTAATACCAAAGATATTAACAGACCAGGGCATTTTCTACCTTCTGCTCATTGAAGAAAACATTCCAGAAGAAGTTAAACAAATTATGTTAAATAAAGGCTATAAATCAAAACTAATTATAAAGAGACAGGTTAAAAATGAGAACCAATTAGTCCTTAAATTTTATAAATAAGAAATAAATGTTTATTTATAATAAATTAAGAGATAATAAAGAATTAACTACAGTTGTAAGTTTCTTTTGACAGCATCACCATAAAGCTTTGCCCCTTTCAAATTTTCTTCAAATCCAGGTATATTTTCACATTGCTTGAACCATCTATCAACATTGGGAAAGCCAGACAAATCCCAATCAAGAGCCTGTTAGTAAAAATATAACTTTAAAATGAAGACAGAGCTTACTAATATGGTAAATTGGTAAACATACAAATAAGTATAGTTGATTCTGTTTGTGTCCATTAAACCAACATATATCCAAATGAAATTTCTTTCATATTAAGTAAGTATAACAAACTTGTTTTTTATTAATCCAATAAATATACTATAATGTTAATACAAACCATAACTGTAGCCATAGAAGAAGCAAGAGATATGTCTGCAATAGTTAATTCATTGCCAGCCACCCATTTACTGTCACTCAGAAAGCGATTTAGAAATCCAAGTTGAACATTTAAATTATCTTTTAATGGCTTCTTTATTTCTTTTACATTTTGGAATAAAATGGGATGCTGAAAATAAACTCAATTATTTTTCCAAACTAATTCATGTTTAAAAGACTAACCAATTTAGTTGAAATATATTTAAATAATGTTCACTAAGCTTCGTACTTGCATACCTAGTGCATAATTAACATGGATAATAGACGTAACAAATTACGCGTAAAGCTCTTTTAATTAACTATCTTTGCCGGTGAATAACTCGATAGCAAGTAAACCTGTATGTTTACCTACTACTAACCTACTAAACCATTTATATTTTATTACCCATACAGTTTAATCAGTGAATCATGTGTCACGTTTTTAATAGATATGGCACTTCGTGACTATCAATCATTTGACTTTTAAGTAGGTACTTGACATATTCTTTTCCAGCATGTTAGCCTACCCTTTTCCTCAGCATTTCTTCTTACCATAATAGCACGTATATGTGGTAGAAAAGTAGCACTATCAAAATACAATCTTTGATTCACAAGCGCACGGTGCTTTAAACCTTTTGGATAGAGATCATCCCTCCCATGCTTCTCGGCCAAATAGCAGGCAATCGCCTTACTTTCCCACAAAACAAAACCATCATCATCAATAGTCGGTACGCAGTGCTGAGGGTTAATCTGAAGAAAATGTTCTTTAAGTTGTTCCTGTTTCATTAAATCAACTATTACAACTTCAACTTCTAATCCAATAGCTTTAATGGTCATGTATGCTGCCCGGGAGGGGCCACTGACACTATAATGATACAGTTTTAACCCCATTTTAATCCTAACTGCACTGTATTCAATTCAACACACTTGTATTGCAGATTGCTCAGTAAGAAGTCATAAGAATGTATCGGTTTGCCACATGAATAGATCTAGATTAGATAGTATTTTTCATTGTTATATCTACTTACAACTTTACTGTGACAACTTAAGGATCAAATTTGAATATGAGTTTGAAAATATTTTTTTTTCAAAGCTATTGAATCTATTCTTTTTTAATTTGCCTTTATACACCATATTTATATAAAGACTTTATAAAGTAATAATTTCTGTTGTTCATATTTACATTTATTAAAAAATACAAAGTATTGTTATCTAAATATAACAAGTAGGTATGTATAAAAATATATTAGAATGTTTATAATAAATATATGCAATTATTATTGCTCCAAATTCTTTTTTACAGCATTCCCAAATACCCTAGCACCCTCCTTGTTCTCTGCAAAGCCAGGAATTGATTCACAAGTTTTGAACCATCTATTAATGTTGGGAAAGTCAGTAAAATCCCAATCAATAGCCTGAAATATAGAACAGTTTAAAGCCAGGAATAACTTTTACACAACAATTTCAATCAATCAATAAACAAATTAAGTAAAGAGACTGCTTTATATAAAACCTACTGCAAGAGTTGATATTGATGCAGCAATTGCTATATCAGCAAGCGTCATTTGGTCTCCTGCAACCCATTTACTCTCATTCAGGTACTGGTTTAAAAATCCTAGTTGGTTATTTAGATCATCTATTAACGGCTTCTTAATTTCTTTAACACCTTGAAATAGAATGGGATACTGAAAGTTAGAAGTTAATATAAAAAAACATTAATTAAAATATTACATAAAAACTAGATGCTATTATTAAACCAAAAAGTTGAAAATATATCAACATACATTTATCGCCCTTATACGGGGGTACAACATGGAGCTATCATAATACATTCTCTGATTTACAAGAGCACGATGCTTCAGATTCATTGGATATAAATCATTTCTCTCATGTTTTTCTGCCAAATAACAAGCAATTGCTTTACTTTCCCATAACACGAAACCGTCGTCGTCAATAGTCGGTATGCAGTGCTGAGGGTTAACTTTTACAAAACTCTCACTGAATTGTTCCTTTTTCAATAAATCAATATGAATAATTTCCACCGGTACATCTACAGCTTTAATTGACATAAAAGCTCCTCTTGACGGAGAACTCAATGGATAGTGATAAAGTTTTAGCACCATGTTTATTTCGCTTTTAGAACTAAGACGGGAGTTCACTTTGACCTAAGTATTATCTGATATTAAAAATATGAACTGCAATTTGAAGAGACCAAATAACACTGCGACTTGTGAGTACGTAACGTTTGTGGTGTGTCTACTCAGTAACTAGAAAGTAGAAACCGGATTTACAGTTATAACGTATATAACTAATACATATAATATGTGTAAAACAATTGTTGCTAAAGCTTAAACTTTAACGCCGTAAACCGAATGTAAATCATAACTTATATATTTCTGTTGTACGGTGTACCTTACCACCTTATACGAATATTGTTACAAAGTCAAAGTAATTTATTCAATTAGGGAACACAATGTACACTATGAACGTCAATAAAGAAAAAGTAATAAATAATACAATATATATATTTAATGCTCAATGCTTCTGATTTTACATTTACTGCCAGTTCTCAAATCAAGGGCGTAGTACGGACGAGAAGAACGGGCAATAAATTATTGTCCGCCACTCTTTTTAATCGCCAACTTTTTTGTTTTATACAATGTTTGTAAGGAGCTGCAACCATTACACAATGCTTCTCCATGTTATGTACTAAATAATTAGCCCACGAAACAGACTGAATTTCTTATTTAGTATAATGGGAGATATTTAAATACTAACATAGGGTTTACTCGAGTATTATTAATAAAAATTACGTATGACAGGAGGAGTATGGAGGGAAGATTGAACGGTTTTTTGATGAGATGAGCAAAAACTATAGGTAGGTACTTTTCTATCATATCAATAACATACTGTTAAATCTGTTCCAAAGCAGACAAAATAAGTAAGTAAAAAAATAAAGATACGACCACAAAATAGACCACATCTCAAACATATATTGAGCCCACGACAACATGGATTTGTTACTGGAAGCCGGAAGGTCAACCAACTCTAATCTATTATGCTATACTACTTATTTATGTTCATCGTTCAATAATAAAAAGCAGGTGGACGCTATATATTATACCGATTTTTCAAAAGCTTTCGATAGAGTGGACCATTTTGTATTGCTTGTGAAGGCTCAACATGTGGGAATCCATGGGAACTTATATAGATGGTTAACTTCTTACCTGTTGAACCGCACACAACTCGTTGCTCTTTGTGGATATGAATCTGTACCATTTTTAGTAACATCGGGCGTGCCCCAGGGGTCAAAGTTGGGTCCTTTATTGTTTTTATTATTTGTGAATGCCTTGCTAAGCAAAATTAGAAATGAATGTTTGGCATATGCAGACGACATTACAGTCTTCATACGTATTAATCTGAAGAAAGAGATTGTGTGACCCTTCAATCGGATATTAATACTATATCTGCTTGGTGCGATGAAAACGCTATGGCTCTGAATATTAAGAAGTGCCAGGTTATAACATTTACAAAAAGTATAACTTGCCAGTATAACTATAATGTTAAGGGTATTCTTGTGGATAGAGTTGAGGTGATTCGAGACTTGGGAGTAATATTTGACTCTGTTATGTCATTTAGACCTCATTATGATTATATCTGTAGTAGAGCTAATCAGATGTTGTCCTTTATTCTTAGAACCGCTAAACCATTCAGGCGAGCCAACTCCTTGATAGTCTTATACAGCTCTCTCGTGAGAACCATGGTTGAGTACTGTTTAGCTCTATAGGCCCCGATATACAAAATTCATACAGATAGATTAGAATCTATACAAAGGCGGTTTGTTAGAGCTTTATGCTCAAAGTATGGTCTTAGGCGCAAATTAAAGCAATATGACCAGCGTCTTGCCCACTTTCAGATGGTAAGTCTTGAAAAGAGAAGATGGATAAGCGACAAGTGCACTTTACATAAAATAGCAAATGGCTCACTTGACAGCTATCTATTGGATAAACTTGACATCAAGGTACCGATGCGTTCTGTGCGTAACCCACAACTATTTATGATACCCACAACTCACAAGTAACAACAATGTATCCCAGAATGGTCCGCTCGCTAGAATGTGCAAGTACATATTATAATTCTGTTCGTTCTCAGGTTGATATTTTTCACAATAGTAGTTATGAATTTAGAAAGATTTTTCGCGGTGCAGACTTGCAACCAGAATAACTTTTTTTTTTTTGGCATTCAATTTTTCTATTTTCTATGTTTTTTTTTGTCATTAAGTTTAATATTATAACATGTAGGGGAAGATCGTTACCCTTCGTACGCGGGGCACATTCATACAGTCAAAATAAAACTTGAACGAAATAAAGTACAGTCTTGCTTTTGTATGTGTGCATGAGTCGAGGTACCAACTATACATCAACGAAGTTTCGTGAAATTCGACCGATGAGAGTGAAGTTACAGGCATAGACGTGTTTTTCGCGCTCGGTAAGTAATTTTTTGATCTATGTTTTTATCTCTTGTTACGTAGATAAAATAAGTTTTCGTGTAGAGTATTCTATCAGTAACTAGCAAAATATACTTAAGAACGTCTCCAATACTTAATTTATGACGTTTTCCTATTAATATTAAAATAAGTTCTATTTTGTTGTTATCAGTAGTGGGGTAATTCGGACAGCATAGATGGGGCACATTTGTACGAATTGTACAACTAAATTTGTATAAAATTTGCGACGCGAACTGTTTTTTCATACAAATTAAGTTTTCGATTTCTACAAACACTACTGTTAAGGCATCTTGACTAAGGTTGATTTTGATGCTTGTGAACCAGATGCTGTGAATAATTTACCAATCCATCAAATAGTAGTTCCTTCGGTCAGTTTTGACACCAGAGGCATTTCGACCCTATTCGCATTCTGTAAGAAGTAATAAAACAAGCAAAATGACGATGACGGCCAGGAAAACCACGAATTTATACTGCCACACCCGAAAATAAGAAGTTGTAATCCACACCAAAGAGTAAAAAATGTAATTCTAAATTTAAGATACCTAACTAATTAAATTTTGTTTTACATAAGAAAAGTATTTTATTTTTGTTTAATAGAAATTAAATCTTTATTTTTGTGTTTAATTTCATTGCTAATAAATGAATTTTTGAATACCCCACAGCGTAAGAAGGTACCCCAAACACTGTCGAAGGTGCCCCGTTGATGGGGCAGATTCGTACGTTTTCCAGATTAGTTTAAATAATAATTATGGTTGAAACATCGGAGAAATATTTGTCATTTTTTATTTGAATCTAGAAGTTAGATATAAATTTAAGCTATCAGGTGATTGATTCATGGAAAAATAAAAAAATTAAAAAATAAAATGTGAAACCGTACGAAGGGTCCCCACCTTCCCCTACATATTATATACTGTATGTAATTGTTAGTATTTAGTAAACCAGCACTGAAGATTCCACTAAAATGCTGTGCACAGATCTAATTGGACTTCAGGTTTACAAATAATGTTTAGTGTGTAATAACTGTATGTATTTAACCAATCTGATGTCTGTTTCTGTACCTTAAATCAAAAAGTAAAAAAAAATCGTGACGAAAAAGGATTTTTCTAAATTTTTCTAAAATCGTTAAAATTTATGTGAGATGTCGTCAACGGTTCTAATTTCATAGCTTTTAGTGACTTGAAAACTCTGACTTAATTGTAAAAATACCTGTATTTAACAAAGATACAGCTAATTGTTTGTTTTTTATATATCTAAAGATACCTTTTTATTTAATTGCAGAACTAAAATTTTATTTTTAGTAAAAATAAAATAAAATAGATAAGATAGTTACAAATTTTAATTTATTTAATTTTTACTTATGTCATGTTTGTGTACGATAGCGCAATAAATAATTAGGTAATATTGTATTCTACCACATAAATGATAGTACTTTTATACTGATAATTAAAACAATTCGTGCAAGATTATACCCTAACCATTCCAAAATATCAAAAATGCCCAACGTTAATATTCAAGTTTTCACTTTTTCCGGCACTCCCGGAGTGCAACCCGTCGTTTTTTTTGGTAAAGATGGAAAGTTGAGATATTTTCTGAATTACTAAAAATAGCCGTATTTCATGTGATTTCGTAAGTAAGAATAAGAAACTACAGTCAAAACCGGTTATAACGACATTGAAGGGACCGTATAGTTGCCGACGTTATATCCGATAGTCGTTATAAGCAATGTCATATACACAAGTACAGTACATATGTATGTACATAGTTATCGATCTAGAATAGGTAGGTATGGGTTATAATATGGTATGTTAATATTATAATATGTAAACGAGTCAAAAAAGAAACAAAAATATTTATTACGAAATAATTAGGTACAAAAGTAATCAGTCAGTCTGTTTTTTTTTAGCCCAGTCTCAAATATTTTTTGCATTTTACGTTTCATACTCCTCAAGGTATGAGTATCACCAGTATCAAACTGTTCGTTAAAGGCAAAAATTTTTTGCAAAATCGTTACAGCGTTAAGAGCCTCGGAAATCGTTGTTGGCTGAAACTGTTCGTTGGGAGAAAGTGCGTAGGTAATAATATGCCTAAATATTCATTCAATGCTTATAAATAAAATTTAAAATCGTTTGTATTGTTTTGTTTTACTGAGACAAGAAGCGGTTGGTCGTTATATCCGATGAATATCGATAAACTTTCGTCGTTGTAAGCGATATGTCGCTGTATCCGATGTTGTTATAAGCGGTTTCTTTACTGAATAGTTTACTAGGGATTCGGACGGGACCATACAATCTAGTTGTAATAACCGATAGGTCGTTGTAAACGATGTCGTTATAAACGGTTTTGACTGTATAATTAATTATTCATATGAAACAGTCGTACCTGTCTTGTAATTTAAGTTACAGTAAGTACACGGGGTAAGGTTAAATCACTTGAAGATTTAACGAAAAAATCACGACGCAGAAATTATTCAAATTTACGCACTCTAAGCACTTTGGGCATCATCATCATCTTTGAATGTGGTTTGGAACGTTAGAAACTGGCGGTTTTAATAAAAATACCAGCACTCAAAAAAAAGGTTAAAATTGGTGTTATAGATGATTTATTGTCTTACCCCAT